CCCCAAAACCCCAAAACCCCAAAACCCCAAAACCCCTTACATTATTAATGATATTGAAAATATTTTATTTTGAACTATGAAGACACATAGAGTCAATCAGTATCTCATCTTTAACCTTCCTTAGGTTTATTCTCAACAGCCCTCAATTTAAAAGAAGACGGATCAACTCAATAAGAATGTAGGACTCTTTGCTAACCATTATAGTTTCTCAGAAAGAGTATGAATATCAATTATTTATAGAATAGGCTAAACAGCAAAACCAAACACAAGTAATTAAATGAGTTTACACCATAGGTACTTGATGAAGATAAGATTAACACACAAGCGATGCTAGATTTAGGAATTTCACCTCAGGATCTAACCAAATAAGCCAATCACTGAGTTTTATGAAGATGGTTTAGCTTCAGAAATGGTAAAAATTAGACATAAAGCTCATCTCAGGAAGGTAGCTGCTACTATAAAGCAACTAAATAAGCATAAATAATATCCTGAGATATAAACTTGAACAAAAACCATTGTTTGCAGATCATCTCCCAAGCCCAAGTATTTTTTATTCTAAAATCAAGATCAATACTTTAAAAACATTATCAACAAGTTAAAGTCTCGAAATGAAAAATATGCTCAGAAAGGTATGTTCCAACTGAAAATTCTTTCAGTTAAAGAGCTAAATTTATAAAAAATTATAGCAGTCTCTTCAATGACAGCACTCGAAAAGCAATTTAAATCAGAAGACAATTTACTTAAGAAAGCTTCTAAGAACAATCTTAAAGGAAGAAAAGCCAGAAGGTAATTAGACAAATAAAATCTTTAGAAATCTTGAATATAAGCCTAAAACTGCATGGCAAGAAAATGAAAGTAATCCAAAAATGAAGACAAGTACTCAGAGAAGTTCTGTCCCAGGTAGATCTAAACAGACATCTTTTTAGAATGTGCTATATTTATCTAATAGACACATCTTAAGTCTCATTCCCTTTTGAAACTCAAATTTATTGCTCTCTTACGAAGGAATATAGAGCAAAGAAAATTGCAATTTGATAGTGCATTAGAGTACCCTAAACATGTAAAAGCTTTGAAGAATAAAAGGATGATTGATTTACTCAAATGCAAATGCTCGAAAATAAATGTAAGCCAACTAATTTCAGATATTCTAAGACATGTCATAATTTCATGATAAAATTTGATTCGATTTAGCCATAAATAAAACATTTATTAACGAATTCTAGAACTGTCCAAAATAAGTTCCATCAACCTCCTTCTCGGTCTCCGAGTAAATTTCCAATCTCAAGGTATGTGTTGGTTTGACTCCTAGTCGTGAGATAATCATGCAGAAAAGTACTTATTACATTTCGAAAGAAGATCAGGAGAATAGCTGTCTTGAACTACTAGAGCATGTGAACGAGCGTGTTCAAGAAGCTCGTGATTCAAAAATTCTAAGTAAGTAGATCTTTTGACTGTAGATCAATTCCAGTCGCTTCAGAAAATCTTGAAAAAGAATCTTCAGACTGAGCAGAAGCAGCTAGCTTATAAATCCCAACAACCATTCACTTGTCTTGATTCCACTCAGGCATTGAAGCACCTGCTAGATGGTAATGCTTTAAGAGGATCTATACTTGGATTTAATAGAAACAAATTATGAAATTTTATGGTCTCTACTAAAGCATCAAGATCCGCTCTGGATGTATTCATACTTTTAAATTTAACACTTCCTTATTCAGGCTACTTTAGCTCTTATTGAATAAAGTTGACAGACAAAAAGTATTTTGCTATTGTGTATCTTTTAATATCAAACTCTTTGTATTTACCAACTCTCAAATCTTCATCTAGGGCAGAAGAGGAAAAAGGAAGAATTGACAGACACTGAGAAAAAATTCTTAAAGACCATAAGAAAGAATATTGAAATTAACAAGAAGAAAACCCATCTCCAAGCTAAGGATTTAAAAAAGGCCAAATAAAATGCTATAAAAGAGAGAAAGATGAGTCTAGACTTAAAAAGTGATCTTAAATGTTTCCAATATCCAAAAACCTATTTGACCTATAAGACTAAAACTCCTCTTTAAAATAATTCAAGCCGACCAATCTTTAAAGGGGTTTTGGGGTTTTGGGGTTTTGGGGTTTTGGGG